TACGTAGCCCCCACAAATAGGAGCACATAACCAATTAACTCACCTATGGGGACAATTCTCTCTTACAAGGTTAGAAAGGAGACTCACCTCGCTCTGAAGATCCATAACCGGCATTCCACGCTCTTCCGAAGACTCGAATCGATGCACAATGCTCCAAAACTTGTTGATGATGACGAAAAACCCCACTTGAAGCTCTCCAAAATCGTCCACACCAAATGAAAAATGGGGGAAAATGACCATCTCCCGAGTTTAAAAGAATACACTGCCTCCAGCATTTCCGCACCTGCGGTCACTTGACCGCTTCTGCGGTTCCGCAGGTGCGACCACCTACCCGCTTCTGCGGTTTGTCACCAGGCTGCCCTTTTCTGCTTCTCCGTCCTCTCCATCGCAGCTGCGGTCCCGCTTCTGCGGTGACCTGACCGCATCTGCGGTCTCAGCCTAGCCGTCCATTTCCGCTTCTGTAGCACGAAAGCCGCTTCTGCGGCCCTTGCCTCGCAGGTGCGGTTATACCAGCAACCAACAACATCAGCCCTTTCCAAAATTCCATTTTCGATCCGTTAACCACCCGGAATCCACCCGAGGCCCCAAGGACCTCAACCAATCATACCTACCAGTCCCAAAACACATTACGAACTTGCTCGAGGCCACAAATCATATCAAACAATGCTAAAATCGACCTCCAATCCAAGCTTTATGAATTTTAGAATTTCAAACTTCTATATTCGGTGCCGCAACCTATCAAATCATATCCGATTGACCTCAAATTTTGCACACAAGTCATATTCGACATTACGGACCTGCTCCAACTTCCGGAATCGGAATCCGACCCCGATACTAAAAAGTCTACTTCCGGTCAAACTTTTCAAAAACCTTCAAATTTCTATCTTTAGCCAAATGACTTCAAAATGACCTACGGTCTACGGACCTCCGAATTCACTTCCGATCGCCCTCCCAACTCCAGAATCACCATACAGAGCTACTACCAGACTCGGAATCCCAAACGGACATCGATAACACTGAAATGCACTTCAAGCCAGACTTATGAAATTTCTTCCAAAATGCTAACTTCCACAATAGGTGCCAAAACGCTCTCGGGTCATCCAAAACCCGATCCTGGCATACGCCCAAGTCTGAAATCATCATACGAACCTGCTGGAACCTTCAGATCCCGATTCGAATGTCGTTTACTCTGAAATCCAATCTTAGTTAATTCTTTCAGCTTAAAGCTTCCGAAATGAGAATTCTCTTTCCAAATCAACTCCTAACTACCCGAAATGAAATGCCGACTATGCGCACAAGTCATAATACCTGAAGTGATGCTGCTCATGGCGTCAAACCGCTGAACGACGTGCTAGAGCTCAAAACAACCGGTCGGGTCGTTACATTCTCTTCCACTTAAACATACGTTCGTCCTCCAACGTGCTAAGAACTGCGTTGGAGTTGTCTGAAATCACTGTTTAACACCTCGAGCATCTACCCGTGCTACCACAACTCAGCTGGGCACCCTAGCTCGATAAATCTGAAGATATCCCTTTTCACTTAAGCAAATAAGCCTGGAGCCCAATTCCAACATCCGGAATTCTCTGCTAGGTTATTTCCAACATACACTCACCGTATCAATCACTACACGTTGTACCCCAAACATGACTGCATACCTTTGCTGAATTCACACCTTGCACCACTTTACTTACAGGACCACAATAACATTATCTGATCAAATTAGTCGAAATTCCCCGAATTTGATGCTCCCAATGCACCTCATGATATGTGTGTGTATATATATATATATATATATATATATATATATATATACACATATATATATATATAATATTCTTGCTCTAACTCTTACAATACCGCCACGACGGAAGAGATGTGTAGAAATTCATAACCAACTATCGAATTTACAATCATTGGGTCTATACTCCTGACAAGAATCATCACCTCATTCTGAACCGAATAATGGTCTTTGCTCCTCAATATACTTCATATAATCAGATTGCACTGATCCTAAANTGTGCTCTTCCGATCTGATCTCATCTCACTTAATACGAACTGCTCAGGAAATAAGCCACCCCGGACATAATCGAAAGTCTCATATGATGCCACAATGTGCCAATAGGCTACCAATTCGAACGCGATACAAAAGGAAAACGAACTCTAAAAAGGAAATCCAATTACCCCGCTCGCGAATCATACATGCGACGCGGTCAACATACTGAACAGACACCCCGCTCGCGAATCATACATGCGACGCGGGCACACATCTAATATGAGCTTTCCTCAGAAAAATAGGAAACAAAACACATAAAAACATATATAGGGAACTGTGCTCAACATCACACTGTTGCGGCGCGCAACCCGATCCAAACAATATACCTATGGCGGCGTGCCAGGAAAGGCAAATATCCACATTTAAAATTCTCAGACAAGCAATACAATCATGCGCATATCATGCCGAGGTCGTACGGCCTGATCCAATAGAAATGTAAAATGTGCACTGCCGAGGGTCGAACGACGCGAACCATAGATGCATCTATTACCCCGCTCGCGAATCATACATGCGACCCCGATACTAAAAAGTCCACTTTCGGTCAAACTTCTCAAAAACCTTCAAATTTCTATCTTTAACCAAATGACTTCAAAATGACCTACGGTTTACGAACCTCCGAATTCACTTCCGATCGCGCTCCCAATTCCAGAATCACCATACGAAGCTACTCCCAAACTCGGAATCCCAAATGGACATCGATAACACTAAAATGTACTTCAAGCCAGACTTATGAAATTTCTTCCAAAATGCTAACTTCCACAATAGGCGCCAAAATGCTCCCAGGTCATCCAAAACCCGATCCGGGCATACGCCCAAGTCCAAAATCATCATACGAACCTGCTGGAACCTTCAGATCCCGATTCTAAGGTCGTTTATTCTTAAATCTAGTCTTAGTTAATTCTTTCAACTTAAAGCTTCCGAAATGAGAATTCTCTTTCCAAATCAACTCCGAACTACCCGAAATGCAATTCCGACTATGCGCACAAGTCATAATACCTGAAGTGATGCTGCTCATGGCCTCAAACTGCTGAACGACGCGCTAGAGCTCAAAACGACTGGTCGGGTCGTTACACTGAGAATATGGTTATAACAGAAAAGGAATTAAAGATGCAGTTGGAGAAATGGCTGAGGGTAGAGGAAAGTATCATGAAGCAAAAAACGAGAGTAAAATGGCTAAAGCTGGGAGATGATAACACTGCCTATTTCTATGCAATCATGAAGAGTAGATATTCCCAGAACAAGATTAAGAGCTTAACAAGAAGCAATGGGGAAGTAATACAGACAAGTCAGGAGATTAAAGAGGAAGTAATTGGGTTCTATAAACAACTATTGGGATCAGCAGCTGAAAGACTTCCCACTATTAATCCAGTGATCATGAGAGAAGGTCCACTGGTAAACAGACAACAGCAACTGCAATTGACAACAACAGTATCTAAGGAAGAAATACACAGGGCTCTAATGGGGATCAGTGATAACAAAGCACCTGGATGTGATGGATTCAATGCACTCTTCTTCAAGAAAGCATGGCATGTGGTTGGGGATAAGATAACTGAAAAGCAGTACTGGAGTTCTTCTCAAAAGATAATTTGCACCAGCCTATCAATTGTACAACAGTGACCCTGGTTCCTAAGGTACCAAATCCATCTAGAGTTACTAATTTCAGACCAATTTCTTGCTAAGCTCTCATCTATAAAATCATTTCGAAGGTATTAACTAATAGATTACAAGAGATAATGGATGACATAGTAGATAAAAGACAATCTGCATTTGTCCCGGGAAGATTGATTAATGATAACATCATAATGAGCCATGAACTTGTTAAAGGTTATGGTAGAAAAGTATATCACCTAGACGCATGCTGAAAGTGGATATGAAGAAAGCCTACGACTTTATTGAATGGAATTACATGGAGCAAGTGCTGAGGAGTATGCAAATGCTAGGGAAGTTTGTGAATTGGATTATGAGATGTGTGAGGACTGTCTCATATTCCATCATTATAAATGGGCAGCACTCAGTACCTTTCAAAGCTAGAAAGGGGTTGAGACAAGGTGATCCTTTGTCTCCTTACTTATTTGTATTGGCTATGGAGTATTTTACAAGACTGCTTAAGACACTAAAAAGGAACCCAGATTTCAACTTCCACCCTAAGTGTGCCAAGATGAGCATAATTCAACTTAGCTTTGCTGATGATTTGCTATTATTCTGTCGAGGTGATACTATATCAGTAAAGCTATTGTACCAATGTTTCCAAGAGTTTTCACAGGCATCAGGATTAGTGGCCAACACTGAGAAAAGTTCAATCTATTTTGGAGGAGTCAGAGATGATATTCAGCAGGAGATTTTGCAATTGTTGGGGTTCTCTAAGGGGTTTCTTCCAGTGAGATACCTGGGGGTACCTTTGAGTACTAAAAGGATGTCAGTACAGCAATGTCAACCACTTCTTGAGAAAATGATAGGAAGAATTCAGTCTTGGACTACTAAGTTCCTATCCTATGCAGGAAAAGTCCAACTTTTTAGAAGTGTGTTACTCTCTATCCAAGTGTATTGGTCTCAGATATTCTTATTATTTAAGAAACTAATCCATTTGATTGAAAGTATGTGTAGAAGATTCTTATGGACAGGAAGTGTTGAGGCTACAAGGAAAGCACCCATAGCATGGGACATATTATATTGGCCTAAAGCAGCTGGTGGTTTGAATTTGATGGACATAGGCTTATGGAATAAAGCTGCCATATGCAAGCTATTGTGGAATCTATGCAAGAAGAAGGACAAAATGTGGGTACAATGGGTTCATGTGTACTATAAGAAATATAATCCAGAGTGGGGAGATGAGCCAAAACAAGTATCTTGGGTGATTCAGAAGATTTTTAAAGCCAAGAAATACTATGAAGAAGTTGGGTATACAGAGGAAGATGTGCTTAGACTGGAAACATTCCCGATCTAAACCATGTACCTGAAGCAAAGAGGACAATTTAGCAAAGTTTCATGGAGAAGACTCATTTGTAATAACAGTGGACTACCTAAGTGGATATTCATCATGTTCCTGGCTGCTTACAGGAGACTCCAAACAAGAGATAGGCTGAGAAGATGGGGCTATGTAGAAGATGATACTTGTCCGTTATGCAACACAGAAGTAGAGACTACTAATCACCTCTTCTTTACATGTTCATTCTCTACACAAATATGGACTGCTATGCTGGAATGGCTGAGGATCTATAGACAGGTGATGACATGGGAGCATGAACTGAAATGGGCTGAGCAACACTGTCGTGGAAGAAGTGCAAATGCTGAAATATACAAGATGATGCTAGCTGGGAGCATATACTATATATGGCAAGAGAGGAATGCAAGAGTTTTTCAGGCAACACAAAGAAATGCAGAAACAGTTACTAGACTTCTAGCACAGGACCTACACTGTAGAGGCAATGTGAAGCAATGGCTGAAGGGAAGATTACTAGATTGAATTACTATCCCATTGTTCATTGAATTGTATAGAAAGTTTAGGAGGGATAGAGGTACAGAAGAAATAGCTTAGTCTGGGGCTTATGTCCAGAACAAGCTATAGAAAGAAGCTGCGTGTAAAATATTACTTGGTAATAAAATTGTTTAGTTACCAAAAAAATACATTGTGGACCACAAAAAAAGGCCGAAAAATTTAATTAAAGTGAACCAGAGGGAGTATTGTTTTACGATGAATAATAGATAAAACTAAAGCATATCTGTAGTTTGGAATTAATGTTGAATATAAATTTGATAATATTTGGAAAAAAATAGTATTTGAAGTTAAGTTTTAAAGCTTATTCGAAAATCATGTTCAAACTTATTATTTTAAGTTGTTTCCTAAAAAAAGATTAAAGATAATATATGTACTGAAATATTATTATGAGCAATGTTAATACAAGTTAACACATTATGCCAACTTTGCTTGAACTTCTAAACCAAAACAACAACCCATGTATAAGAATTAGTATAATACATATGAGTTTTTTTTAGAAAATTAGCCAAATATAATTAATATTCATTATTTTTAGGTACTTATACTATTATTTAAAATTATATTTTTAATTTACAAGTTTTAATAATATTTATGTGATTTTCAAAAGGTCTTTATTCATGACTCTCTGTACACGACGCTACTCTAAGACTAGTACCGTTAAGCGTCGGAACAGAGATAAGCTATAATTTTGACGAACCAAATCTCTATAACCATAAAATTTAGGTGAGCATACAATTCGAAATATGAAAAAACGGATGGAATTAATTCCGTATTTCGCTGTTGATGCTAATTACATACAGTATGATTTTTTCAATATTTCGATATCATCCCTTTCCTAGTTCCGCAGTTCGCCACTTCCCATTGTTTCTAGCAGCCGCGTGCTAAGGTTCTCCACTTCTCCTCCCTTCCCGGCTTCCCCAGATCGAAACTTTTTAACGCTAGCCGCTGCCCGCTAGGGTTCTCCCCAAACTTTCTTACTCTGCTCTCTCCGTCTCTCTGTGACTGTGGATTCTTCAAGAGAGCAGCAACTTCTCCGGCGTTCCTAACATTCTCAGGTATGCAACAACTACTCTCTCTTCTTGGCCCTTGCTCTGTAATTTTATTCAGTCATTGCAACTTTCTTCTCCTCTTGCTATTTCCTCAACTCTCTTTTCCCGTTCTCCTCAATGTTTGAATCTCTTCCCGAGATTTTGCCTTGTTGTTTGTGCTTATGATTGTTTTTTTCTGAGATGAGCTGTTGAGGAATTTGGGAGAGCTAGGGTTTTAAATTGTGCACGTATTATGTTTGAGAAAATGCTTGGCCGAGTTCAATTAAGCTGGGGTTGTGTGAACTTAAGTTCTGACTGGTGTATTTTTTTTGGTTAGACTTTAAACCTAAAACATTTAGCTTCAGTAACAAAGTGCAGCATACCGTGGTTTCCTATGATATATGTGTAGTGGGGGCTATATTCTATTTCAAGCGTCCCTTGACTCTATGCTACAACATATGATTAATGAAAAATCTCAGTAACAGAACGTATGCAATGAAATATGATTAATGAAAAATATACAAACAGGTGACCTGAATTTAAAGAGCAATATGGTTGCTAAATCGTCATACAGGTGGAAGGTTAAATAATTAGAAAAAAATATAATTCAATGAAGCTCGCTACGAAGCTCTTACAACTCAATTATGCGAAAGTTGAACAAGAAAAAAGAAAGGGTTGTTAACTGAGACAAAATATCTATTCACATATTCCAGTTGAATTTTAAATAACACATAAATCATGAATTTTAAAGAATGTACATCGACGGCTTTTTTACATGGCTTACTTGTTTGGCAGAAAGAACTTCAACTTCAAGTTATCCCAATTTCATGGTCACCTTCTCAAAAGTTTCAAGTTCAGCCCTCTCAACCTGGCATAAAATATGAAGTTGCAGAATAAGGTAGATGACACGTGAATCAAAGGAAAGAGAGGTATGAACATGCAATGCCTGGATTTATGAATATTCAATGCCTTAATTGTAGAGCGGAACTCAACTCAACTTGAACAAACATAAAATATCATAATCAAAATCAACCTAAGTACGATATATCATTCAGTGAAAGTGTTATGAATTATTTCTAAAACTTATTTATTTAAGCCAAGATTCACCTATCGTTTATCTTATTATCTACTGATTGAGGTAATGTACTAGTCCCTTTTAGGGTTTTAACTGTTAGTAGTTGTGACAAGATTCATATGAACTGCAGAGGGTCTGAAAAAGATTTCCTCATTCTTTGATCTGTCTGAACAGGAACTGCTCGATTTTTCTGATATCTTTATTTGGTATATGATTGTTTTTTTGAAATTGGAACTTCTGAAGGATGGTTTTGAATTTTGATTTCTTTCTGGGCCCTTATCGTTTGTCCCTCTTTAGAAACTGCTAATACCTTTGAATGTGTTCTTTTGTTGCAGAAATATGACTTTCTCTTTTTTCATAACATTCTGGTTCACTTTTATTTATCGCAATAACTGCTACCACTTTGTTGTGGTTGAGTATTCTGTTACGTCGAATTGATATGTTCTTGAAACTTAAGGTTCTACATTGGTACTTATCTTATCTTCTCTTCTTCTTTTTTCCATGTTAGGTGCCTGTTTTTCGCTGCATTAAGATTTTAAGTATAGCTTTTGTAACCAACTAACCATTTCTTCCATTCGATAGAATTTCTCAAGTTTGAGAATGAAAAAAAGGGTTATTCCTTTCTTGCCACTCTTAGGCTTTTGAAGCAAAACTGGACTTGGTCAAAAACATTTTCTGCGCATTATGAGTTGAGATAATTAAAATAATTAAAGAAAAGATGTCATTCCAAATTAAGGTATAATTCTGAATATGTCAAATAGAATAAATGAGCATTAAGATAGAAAATCTTTCCTTCAGCATATCTATGAGCTTTTTGTAAGTGTTCAGTGCAAGGGTCTTGTTAGTTCACCTATTAAAGTTGACATATGTTGGTGCATTAAGGATGAGCAAGAAAGATGCCTCCTTTTCTTTAATTACACAAGCTCCTTAAACAAAGAACTTGCAGGCATAAGCAAAAAAGTTCTATTCGGAAAACAATTTGTGAAGATTTCCATAAAGCTTGATTGTCTTGATCAGCTCTTGAGATTTTTAGCTCAGAAACAAACGACAGTAGAAGGGAAAGTGGGGCTAATTGATTTGTTTTCTTTAAAGGAAATATTTGGAAGTTACTTAGTATATTTTTCTTTCTTACCTCAGAATGAGGTAAAGTAATTTTCTTCATGCTTTTATCCAATTCTGGAGAAGATACTTTTTACTTAAAGTAACGGTTCGTCCTGAAGAACTGAATTTTCCAAAGTTCAATCTTGTAAAACATTCTTTTTTTGATTGTACTTGCACAATACATTCCGGAATACCCTTAGAAATAGCATTGTTTCTAGATATGACTTTCTTCATATCTAGAAGAAGAAATGCAGCTAAACCTTCATTATTTTTCATTTCATATTCCAATGGCTTACCTATTCAATGATAAACTCCTTTTTTTTTTCTCGCATGCATTTAGCTAATTCTATTTATGCATTGTGTGGGTCTTGTGGTCTTATTCATTTGATTCTGTTTATACTAATTTTGTAGCTTTTGTAGTCTTTGTTTTTTTTCCCATGGCAGATATGAAATGATATGTATTTTGTTGGGATAAAGACTTAAATATGGTCTTTTTTTGTCCAAAGTCCTCGAGAAGGCAATTGAGAAAGTTGTTTGAACTTACTGACCCTTCATTCATTTGATTATTTTTCTACTCTCCTTGTTAGGTTATGGATGATAAATTTGTACCAGAGCTTTCTGTCCCCGAAAATGTTACCAAAACATTATTACTTGTGTCAAACTCAGCTTCTTTAGAAAAGGCACTTGAGAAGCTGATAGAAATTGCCAAAGTTCCTGATAGAAGGTTTGATCTGTCCACTAAGAACGTTGTCACCGCTGTCCTCCAACTCTGTCAGACTCTGTCATCTCCCTCTTGGCGTTACCTCCTTTTATTGTCTCTTAAGGCACTTAGAAACATGTGTGCTGGGGAGATAAGAAATCAAAATGCCTTTCTTGAACAAAGAGGAGTTGAAACAGTCATGGATGTTATTACCTCAGCAGGACTTACTATTGATCCTGATTGTGAGATTATCCGAGTGGGGCTGCAACTTCTGGGAAACTACTCAGTAGCTGGGAGAGAACATCAATGTGATGTGTGGTACCAAATGTTTCCTCATAGGTTCTTGAAGATTGCTAGAGTTAGAAGCAGAGAAATATGTGATCCTCTATGTATGGTCATTTACACTTGCTGTGAAGGTACTGATGGACTGCTAACAGAGTTAAGTTCGGAGCAAGGGTTGCCGATTCTTAAAGAAATCATATGTACTTCATCAGCCGGTAAATGCCAGTGAATATTGTCACTCTAATGTATCCCAAAAAAATTATCTTTTTCTTATTTGGTAGCCATGATTGGCTTATGGTTTCATACCCTTTTGCAGTTGGTCTCAGAGAAGATTGGTTGAAGTTGCTTCTTTCAAAAATTTGCATCGAAGGCTCCTACTTTTCCTCAATTTTCTTCAAGTTACATTCACATCCTTGTGTTAAGAACAATGATATTGTTACACATTTAGCTTACCAATTTGTTAGTGAGCAAGCTCATCTGTTGAGTATCCTCTCAGAAATATTGAATGAGCAATTAGAGCATATTGTTGTTTCACATGTTTTTGCTTTAAGTATCTTCGGGATATTTAAGAGTGCTGCAGTGGTTGTTGACTTTTCAAACAGAGGGAAAGATGATCTTCCGACAGGGTCTGCTCCTATTGATGTTCTAGGATACTCACTCGTGATCTTGAGAGATATTTGCGCTTGTGGGTCACCTGACGAGCTCTAGGGAGGAAAGTCCAAAGGATGTCGTGGATATATTAGTTTCCTCTGGGCTTATTGAACTTCTTCTGGACTTACTT